ATAAATATAATAATAACTGTTTTAAAGGCACTGCCAGATGAAGATATAAACTAAATATACTCCTACTCATGTCTTTAAATATTAAAATTTATAACACGTAGAATTTAAGCATAATAGACTGGAAGATTAACTTACGTACAGTAAACAATCATGAGAAACATACTTTTAATAGATAACATAAATGAGAACTCAAATGAATCAGAATTAAGGTCAGATTTAATAAATAATTATATGTACATTAGGCAAAGAATTCCCATTAAAGGAGTTAGTGGCTGATCATAGGACAAAGTAGAATAAATAATAATTTTAAACGATACATTAGAGCAGTAGATTTGATTAGAAATAAGAGTAGAAGATACAGATAAATTAATCAACTAAGAGCTAATTAGAAAATGATAGGAAAAAAGTTTAAAGGAATGATTGAGAAAGAATAATGTCTTGAAGATAATTTGAGCTAAATATTTTCTAGCTCAAAAGAGTTAATCTATTAAAAATAAAATCTGGAACAATAAGTAAAGCTATCTGAGAGAAACTTAAACTCTCATTTTTTTAACAGTAAATAGAGTTAGAAAAATCAAGATGACTGACCCTCTTTTCTTTGCTCACATGCAGGATCAAACTGATTCACTTAGTCTCAATCTTATAAATCATATTTAACTATGATAATAATTTTCAGAAGAGATAAGAGGAAGGGATTTCAGAACAGAAAAGAAGTGAAATAAAAATATCACCATATTAGAAAAATCATTAAAAGTTGATTTTTCATCTATTCTAAATTACAAAACAGTTAATTTCAAATCTCAATACTAGGCTCTAAATTTCAACCATTTTAAAGTTAGAAAAAGAGCTGTTGAATTTTGAAGATTTAAAATAATTATAATTTTATACAGATTATAATTATTATGTTATGCGAATAGCTTGAATAGTTTGATACTTCTCTTCAAAATGGAAGAGAGAGGAAAAACTTAGAGCATGCGAGAAAGGATTAGAGCATCAAATTCAAGATGAATTCATATGATTTAAATGATTTTATGTTGATGTTCTGATTCTTGAATCATTTTATTATGGATGTTTTAGTATTTCAAATAATTAGTACTTAAGAGAGAAAGTTGACATGGATAAAATACTGGGTATATCTTTGAAATATAATTTAACAATAGACTTAAATTAGTTATGTTTCAAGAAGAATTTAGTCGGTCAAAAAAAAATTAGATTAAATATAATTTTAGTTAAGCTATTCCAAATCCATCAAATTTATCTTATGTAATAGTAAAGTCATTAAATATAAATGATGTAAAGTCTGATCATAGTTGAGGTTTATTATTTTATGGATTAATTGCAAATATAACATCAAGATATTATTCATAAGCAGTAGGATCTTTAAGAAAATGCAATGCCTCTTCTATATACATTGCCCTTTATAAAGAATGATAGATTATTCAATATTTATTTTGTTATTAATTAATAAGAAAAAGATTTATTTTTATTGGGTGGATTTAATTATATGACTTTTGAATTAATTATATTTTTTATTCAATCTGCTCTGTAAAATTAAATGATGGCTTTAATTTTATAAATATGTTAAGATTTATTAATTATTGTATAG